TTTGCAAGTGAACAATTTTGATAAAAAAAAAAAAAAAAAAAAAAAAAAACTAGAGAAAAACGAAATATTTTCGAGCGAAGAACATTTTTGTAAACAAAGTGATATTTTTGAATGTTCGTAAAATAAGTTTTAATCAGTTCAAAAAAAAATTTGCCAGATCAGGAATAGAAAAGAAAAATAATATATTTTCGGGTTTTCTAAAGATATCAAATAGAGACAGAAAACGTATCAAAATTATTTTAAAATTTAACAACAATCTAAAAAGAAGAAAAAAAATTTAAGAACAAAACAAAAAACTGTGATAAAATTGGAATTGAAAATAGAATTTCTTTTTTGAAAAAATAAATTTTCTTATACCTATTTGAAAGAAAGTGAGAATTTTTGGAATTAAACAACTTATAAAAAATTGTCATAAACTCCTAGAAAATTATTTTTATGATTTTAATTCAATTATTATTTTCTAGAATTTTTAATAATTTTTTTTTAAAATAATTCAATTCCATAAAAATTTTTTTTTATTTTTTTAAATAATTGGACTTTTTGAACAATTGTATTAAAACACTAGATATTGAAAATCATTAAATTGCGGAAAATTTTAGAAAATAATTGAAATTTTGTCAAGAATTTTATTAAAATTATGAAATTAATTGAATTTTATTATTTATAATGATAATTGAAATTTTGACGAGAATTTTTTTAAATTTTTGAACATATTTGAATTTTAAAGAATTTTATTAGGTTTGAAAATAATTGAATTTCTGCAAACATTTGTATCTTCTCCAAAATTCAATATTTTTATTTTTTTTAACTAAAATTCTTCTATAAATCTATTATTTTTTATAATTGATTAAATATGTATTAAAAAATTTAACTAATTTTAGAAAGAATTTGTAGTATTTAAATTTTAAATTTTTATGATATATATATTTATTTATATAATATTAATATTTATAAATTTATAATAATTTATTCTATACGGTTGTTAAAAATGTTTTAATTTAATCTTGAAAAAATCTGCAAGTTATACATTTTACTGTATTGAAGGTAACTTCTTCAAAACTATTTTCATCATTTTAATTAAATTATTATTTTTTAGAATTTTTAATTATTTTTTATGAAAATAATTAAATTCCTTAAAAAAAATTTTATTATTTATGAAAATAATGGAAATATTGCCAAGAAATTTATAAAAAATTTGTAAATAATTGAATCTGTGAAATTTTTATTATTTGTGAAAATAAATAAAGTTTTGCACAGAATTTTATTAAATTTTTTTTAAATAGTTAATTGAATTCTTTTGAAAAATTTTATTAACCCCTTAACAGTCCATGGCCCATATATGGCCACGAAAAGTCGTGCCACCTTTGCGTCTGTGGCCATATATGGCCATCTCAAAAAAAAAATACTAAACATGATTTGATTTTAGTAGCGAAGTACATACTACTGTTTTTGGGGTCGCTGAATCCGAATCTGAAGTCAGATTTAAAAAATTCAAAATGGCGGACCCAAAATGTTGACTTCGAAAAATAAAAAAATTTCAAATTCGCTTTAAACTCGTTACTTGGGGGGTTTTCGGGGTCTCTGATTACAAATATGATGTCAGATTTTTAAAATTCAAAATGGCGGATCCAATATGGCGGATAATTTCAAGATTGATGCGATTCGATTAAAATTCGTTTCTCGGGGGTTTTTGGGGTCGCTGAATTTGAATTTGATGTTCGTTTTACAAAATTCAAAATGTTGGATCCAATATGGCGGATAATTTCAAAATTTATGCGTTTTGATCGAAATTCCGTTCCCGGGGTTTTTTGGGGTCGCTGAATTCGAATTTGATGTTCGTTTTTCTAAATGCTAAATTTTGGATTCAATATGTCGATCAAATTTTTTGAATGTTGACAAATTTGTCTAAAATGTTTACTCAGGGGTTTTTGAGGTAACTTCATATTTTTTTCGCATCAATCTTGAAATCATCCGCCATATTGGATCCGCCATTTTGAATTTTGAAAATCTGACATCATATTTGTAATTAGAGACCCCGAAAACCCCCGAGTAACGAGTTTTAAGGGAATCTGAAAAAAAATTTTTTTTTGAAGTCGACATTTTGGGTCCGCCATTTTGAATTTTTTAAATCTGACTTCAGATTTGGATTCAGCGACCTCGAAAACCCCCGAGAAATGAATTTCCCTTAAAACGCTTTAATTTTAAAATTATCCACCATATTTGGTCGCCATATTGGATCCGCCATTTTGAATTTTCAAAAATTAACCTCAAATTCGAATTCAGCGACCCCAAAAACCTTATATATGATTAAATCATATTTTTTTGTAAACTTTTTTTTCGGACCGTTTTTGGACCACAAGCGATTTTCAACTAGACTGCGAAGGGGTTAAAAAAGTAGATATATTAAAAATAATTCAATTGAGGAAAATTTTTAAAAATAATTGAAATTTTGCAAAGAATTTTATTAAAATGCCTCAAAATAATTGAAATTTCGGGAATAATTTTGTTATTTATCTTTAATAATTGAATTCTTTAGAAGAATTATATATGTAAATAATTGAATTCTTGTGTAGAATTTCATTGAAATCTAAAAGAATAATTGGATAATTTCAAAATAATTCAATTAAAATTGTATGTAAAATAATTTATTTCTTTTAAAAATTTTATTAAAATTAAATATTTAAAAATAATTGAATTCCTGTAAAAAATTCTAATATTTTTTTAAATAATTGAATTCTTCGAAAGAATTTTAAAAAATCATATTTATTTAAATAATTGATTTTTTTTGAGGAATTGAAATTAAATTTTTAGGAATAATTACATTTCTTAAGTAATTCCTGTAAAATTGTATTATAAATAATTAAAATCCTGCGATGATTTTTATTATTTATGAAAATAATTAAATAGTTGCTAAGAATTTTATTAAAACTTTCAAAAATAATTGAATTCCTGAGAAGAATTTTATTATTTATGAAAATAATTGAATTATTGCGAAAAATATGATTGAAATGTTTAAAAATAATTGAATTCCTGAGAAGAATTTTATTATTTATAAAAATAATTGAATTATTGCGAAAAATTTGATTAAAATGTTTTTTAAAAAAATTGAATTTCTGTGAAAAATTTTATTATTTTTAAAAATAATTGAATTCTTCGTAAGAATTTTTATAAACATTTTTTTAAATAATTAATGTTTTCGAAATATAATAAATATTATGACAATTTTATTTTAAATAATTGAATTATTGTGTAAAACTATATTTGTGAAAATAATTGAATTTTTCGATTAAATAATTTAAAATAGTACTAAAAATAATTTAAATTCTTCGATGAGTTTTATTATTTATGAAAATAATGGAATTATTGCGAAGAAATTTATAAAAAAAAATTGTAAATAATTGAATTCCTGTGAAATTTTTATTATTTATGAAAATAATTAAATGTTTGCGTACAATTTTATTAAATTTTTTTTTGAAATAATTAAAAAATAATAGAAAAAATAAATTTTTCAATAAATAATAATCAAACCGATTATTCGATTCATTTAAGTATTTTTTTGCTTTAAAAAATAATTATTACGATTAAAAATTATTTTTGTGTCTCATTCCAAATAAAAAAAACTACAAATAAAATATTTGTCGAAACGTTAAAATTGTGTTTTTATTATTTTAATATTTGATTTGGAGGATTGATAATTTTCTTGATATTTTATACAAATAAAATAATTTTCATAAAAATATTTTGTTACTTTTTTTCGGTCTTAAAGTTTATCCGAACCCTGAATTATAAAATAATTGGAAGAATTTTGAATTCTTTTGAAAACTTGTTTATTTTGATTTCATAATTAGGATTTAGTTGACAAAATTATTGCATGAGGTTTATGAGAGTGAAACGACTATATTTCTTCTCCTTTCTCTCTCTCTTTCTTTCTTTATATGCACATAAAAAATAGAAGAAAGGATGAACTTTGTGAATAGCCTGCTCAAGGAAAAACTAACGAAAGCAAGCAAGACTTTGTCGTGTTTGCTAAACTTCCGACAGTTTAAGCAAGACGTTTCACAAGACCAAGGAGGGAACCTTCCTTTACAAAAGGTCTTGTCGTACATTCAAAGCGCAGGCGAGACGCATATTTGATGTAAGTTATAAACTTTTGTACAAATATGAAAACAATTTCAATGCACATGAAATGGAAAATCATTTTCAAAAATAAAATATAGTTTTTGTTTATTTTCTTGTTTTTTATCTAGATTTTAAAACCAAAAATTTTATTTTTTCCTTCTCTTTGAAATATTAAATCACTTATTCTAAAAAGTACTTTTACTTATTTAACTTTTGTTTAATCGGGCAATCAAGTAATTCTCTTTGGCCATAGGAAAAAAAAAGAAGAAGGAGAGTGTAGACAATACTGCAAAAAAAAGCTTTATTGTTCTAGAGATGAAAGAAAGTGTGGCCTCAGGTCGTATTTCAAAAAATTCTTGAATAATTTCTGCGATAAAGGAAAGACGCATACAATTCAGTTAGAAAAAATTGACAGACAGGCGAAAAGAGAGAGAAAAAAAGAGGGAGAGAGAAAGAAAGAGAGAGAAGACAGAGAAAGAGAGAAAAAATAGAAAATGAGAGAAAACAGAGAAAGAGAGAGAAAAAAAGGAAAAAACAGAAAAAGAGGGAAAAGAAAGAAAGAGAGAAGACTGAGAAGGAGAGAAAAAAGGGAAAAAGAGAGAAAAAACAGAAAGAGAGAGAAAAGAGAAAGATGACAGAGAAAACAGAGAAAGAGAGAAAAAATAGAGAAATAGAAAAAAAGTGGGGAAAAAAGGAAAAAGAGAAGAAGAGAGAAAAAATAAAAAACAGAGAAAGAGAGAGAGAAAAAAAGAGAAGAGAAGGAAAGAGAGGAAAAGAGAGAGAAGAAAAAAGAGAGGGAGAGAGAAAATAAGAAAGAGGTAAAAAGTATAAAAAAATTGAATGAGTGATAAAAGAAGAAGAAGAATGTAAAAAGTACTGACCACTCAGCCAGGTGCCATTGAAGCTTTTCGTTGACAGCGACCCTCCGAGCCATTCTTCGAGTGAGACGCCGGCTGCAGTTAACGCTTTAGGTTCAGAAGAATTGGGACCACTGTTTAGTAGAATAGCGACTGTGATCACCAGAGCCAACACAACAATCGCTATTAATCCACCAGCCAACAAACGACGCCAATTGCGACGCTTGTTCTTCGTCATCATGTCCTGAAAAAGAAAAAGAAGAAAAAAAAATTGATTAACTCTCCCAGGTCAAAGAAATTCTTCGCATGAGGGAAAATATTTAATTTCACTTGTACTCACTAAACTATATATATATATATATATTTGATAATCGAAATCAATAATTCATTAATTTAAATTAAAACTTTAACAAAATGAATCAAAAAAATAAAGTGTACACCTTGCACATTTTCTTCAAGATTAAATTCAAACATTTTTAACAACCGTATTGAATAAATTATTATAAATATATAAATATTATGTAAATGTTGTAAATATTAATATTATATAAAATTATAAATAAATATATATAAAATAAAAATTACAGATTTTAATAATTCAAATTTTTCTGAAAATAGTTAAATTTTTTAATATTTAATTAATTATCAAAAATGATTTATTTATAGAAGTATTTTAGTTAAAAAACTAAAAAAAATTTAATTTTGGAGAAGTTATAGAAATATTTGCTGAAATTCAATTATTTTTAAATTAATAAAATTCTTTGCGGAAATTTAATTATGTTGAAAAATTTAAAAAAATTCTCGTCAAAATTTCAATTGTCATTATAAATAATAAAATTCTTTTGTCAAATTCAATTATTTTCAAAAATTTTCCTTAATTCAATGATTTTAAATATCTACTTGTTTTAATAAAATTTTCCAAAAAGTTCAATTATTTAAAAAAAATTAATTATTTTTATAAATGACAAAAATTTTACAATAATTCAATTATTTACAAATTTTTTTAAAAAATTTATTCGCAATAATTTCATTATTTTCATAAATAATAATATTTTTACAGAGATTCAATTGTTTTCAAATTAATAAAATTCAATGCAAAAATTCAATTATGTTGAAAAATTTTTTAAAAATTCTCGTTAAAATTTAAATTATCATTATAAATAATAAAATTTCTATTGTAAAATTCAACTATTTTCAAAAATTTTCCTCAATTCAATGATTAAAAATAATTTTTTTTTAAATAATTAAAAATAATAATTCATTTATGAGAAAAAGAAAAAGAAAGAGAGAAAAAATAGAAAAAGAGAGAAAACAGAGAAAGAGATAGAAAAGAAAAGGAAAAAACAGAAAAAAATTTCACAGGAATTCAATTATTTACAAATTTTTCTTATAAATTTCTTCGCAATAATTTTATTATTTTGATAAATAATAAAATTCATCGCAGAATTTCAATTATTTTCAATATTTTAATCATTTAATCGAATTTCTCCAAAAATGTAGGTAATTAATAATTATTCTTAAAAATTTTATTAACATTTATCGAAGATTTAAATTATTTAAAAATTTGTTGATAAAAATCTTTATGAGAATTAAATTTTAAGAAACATTCAAATTATATTCAATCAATTATTTATTTTTGTAATTTTCTAATAAAAAGTGATTTAAAAATGAGTTTCACCTTTTACTTTTACTTTTCTGTGAAAAATTTTGTTATTTTTGAAAATAATTGAATTTTTTATAAGAATTTTATAAACATTGTATTAAATGATTAATTTTTTCGAAATATAATAAATATTATGAAAATTTTATTTTAAATAATTGAATTCTTGTGGAAAACTTTAGTTGTGAAAATAATTTAATTCTTCGATGATAATTAATTGAAATTATAGAAAATTATAAAAATAATGAAATTATTGCGAAGAAATTTATAAAAAAAAATTTGTAAATGATTGAATTCCTGGGACATTTTTTTTATTTATGAAAATAATTCATTTTTTTTTTTAATAATTGAACTTTTTGGAAAATTTTATTAAAACAGTAGATATTGAAAATCATTGAATTGAGGAAATTTTTTTTGAAATTTTGTCATGAATTTTATTAAAATTTTTGAACATACATTGAATTTTACAAAAGAAATTTATTATTTATAATAATAATTGAAATTTTGACGAGAATTTAAAAAATTTTTTTGAACATAATTGAATTTTTGCAAAGAATTTTATTTCTTTTGATTTTTTAAAATAATTGAATTTCTGCAAACATTTGTAACATCTACAAAATTCAATTTTTTTTTACTTGTTTAACTAAAATTTTTCTACGAATACATTATTTATGACAATTAATTAAATATATATTCAAAAATTTAACTAATTTCAGAAGAATTTGAATTATTAAAATTTTTTTTAAAAATGTAAGTTCTTTCTAATTAGATTAATTCAAAATTGAAATTTTTTAAAATTTCAAACTAAAGTTCTTTAGCTAATTTCATCCATTTATGAAAATTGTTCTCGCAACTCTTTTAAAATTCAATTATAATTAAGAGAAGTAAGTAAAATAAGTAAGTAAGTAAAATTATTCATTTACCTAATTATAATTAATTTTAAAAAAGAAATTATTGTCTAGAAAAAAATTGAAGGTTTTATATTAGAATTCGTGATAAATTCACAGTTTATAAGACAAACAAAATCGACAACAAAATTCAGAATTTTCTTAATGAATTTTAAAAATTCAATTTTTTCCAGTATAATGATTATTGAACAGAATTATTTTGCACAGCTCTATATTTGAACGAATATAATTTCAGTATTTGAAGCAAATGTGAATTGAACCATTTAATTGACTTCAATAAATATTATTTAATTCAAGTAAATATTTAATTGATAATAGTCCATTAATCGGTTTTTATTTTTTTTATTTTTATTAATGACAAAATCAAATAAATTTTTTCTTCAGTGTAATAAATATTCCTGACTTTTTCCTAAATTCCCTGACCTGTGGGGCAACCCTGTTTATTCTTTTATTTTTCACTTTATTTATTTATTCTTATTTATTTACTAATTTATTTATAAATTTCTTTTATTTTTCACTTTATTTATTTATTTATTTTTATTTATTTACTAATTTATTTATCAATTTATCAATTTTTCAAGCAAAAATATCGCAAAATTTGATTAAAATAGAGTTTTTTCTCCTGAATCGTTGTTTTTTGTTTTTCGTTGATTATAAACTTTGTAAATTTTACTAAAATTAAAAATTTTTAAATAGAAATACTAAAATTTAGCATTTGGAATTTTTTTATCATTGTTTTGTTTAGCATTGTTTCTTTTTTGTTTGGCACGGTTTATTTTTTATCACTGACATTAATACATAATAATGTCCTTATAAAATATAAATACTTTTTTGTCCTACCTGCACGAAAAGTATGTCATTTCGGGCACTTAAAGTGGGCGCAAAGTAACTGATTCTCGCCCGGGGTCGGGGAAGCGGGCGCAAAAGTTCTTTTACGCCCGCTGACGTCACACAAGCGGGCGCAAAAGTACTTTTGCGCCCGCTTCATCTAGCCCGAGCGGGCGCAAAAGTACTTTTACGCCCTCTTGCTGGACTTTTGCGCCCGCTTCGCTCGTGCCCTCAATGCTATACTTTTCATGCAGTTAGGACAAAAAATTATGTTCGCAACATGGGCGCAAAGGTGATTACGACTTCGGCGAGATCACCTATTTTGCGCCCTTGATACGATAATAACTAATTGACTAACATATATTAAAATTAATTTTCCCCCAAAAATAACGATTCGTACGTGAAACGCTTTGAAATTGTAAAAGTAATTAAGCTAGTTCATTTAAATGAGAAGCCTATATATGGATAAAGCTTCAAGTTTTAATGAGTTTTATATGTGAATTGAGAATTGAACGAACATGATGTTGAGATTTTCATTTTGATGTGACTTGTTCTAATCGTTGAACATTTGATAGAAAGTATCTCACTATATCTCTCTCATTCTTTCTAAACTTGAAACGTGTGTCCTTGCTCGGTTTAGTTTTGCAAAGTTTTAATGACCGTTGAGAACATTATACAAGGAAATTTGAATAAGTTGAACTTCTCCCAAGCGAAATTCAGTGGCGAAACACAGGTTATGCTAATTGAAGGGCTAGTCCTTCGTGTCCTTGTAGATTTACTTACTTTGAGTGATTATCGCGAATAGTCGGAATAATTTTAACATTAATTAAAGTGTGTGTGAAAAATTCAAAAAAAAAAAGAAAAAAGAAAACGGAAATAAGAAAGAAAAAAAAGAAAATCTATTGCCAACTTTATTTTTACCAGGGGACGAAAGCTTCTTAACGAGTCGGATTAATTTAATATACGCTCAGTATTATTAAAAAAAATTCGTGGGGAATTAAACCCCCCCCCTTTTTTTTTCTTTCTCTGTCGATTTGAAATACGAGACAAAATTAAATACTCAAATTTTTTTTCTGTTTTTCTCACTCGAATAATGTTTCTTTTTCCCCCTCTCTCTCTCTCTCTCTCTCTTCGGGAGAGAATCTCATTCTCGCAGTTGGAAAAACTATACCCATCGAAAGCGGAAGTTAATCAACCGCAAAAGAGGGAGGATGCCAGAAGCAGACGTGACGGTCTCAGAGTGGCTTAGAAAAATGTTACGATTTTTCTTTTATTTTTTTTTCCTCTTCTTTTTTTTTATTTTTGGTTTTTTGTTTGCACAAAGCGCAACAAGAAGCCAATCATCATTACTTGAAAATTCGTCGATAATAGATTTTCCAAGCAAATGTTTATCTTCGTCAAACAGATTGAAAACGACAATTCTTTGCTCAAACGCAAAAAAAAGAAAAATAAATAAATAAATAAAAAGTATCATTAAAACCAGATTGATTAAAAGAAATGCCAAAAACCTCTTATTTAATCATAAAAATAGAAAAAAAGTTCAAATATAGAAAAATTTAATTTTTACTTAAAGATTTAAGTTAAAGTTTCACGGCTTTTCATTTTTAAGTTGCTGGAAATATTTATAAATAAAAATAATGTCTGCTATAAATAAAAATTTTTTTTTACTATTTTTTTTTAATATTTCATTCAGGGAAAATTTTTTTCAATATTAATATTTAACGTTGAGAGATTTTGGAATATTTACGTTCATATATATTGGCATCAAGTGGCAATAATTATTAACTGTTTCATCGAAATATCCGAAAAGTTAAAATTAGATACGAATACAATTAGATAAAGTTTGCT